CGCGGGACGAAGGGCGGCGGCGGCTCGGGCCTCGGGGGCTCTCCTCGGGCCGAGCGGGCTTCGACGGCGGCGCGGGCAGGCGTGCCACGTGGCGATCGGCGGGTGGCTGGGCGCGGCGGCGGACGTTGTCCGGTCCGCTCCGGACACGTCCGTCGGCGGCGGATCTGGAAATTTTTTAGGGTTCGGAGGTAGGGGAAGATCCAAAAAATGGGGGGGGGTGTATATATAGGCATAAGTGGAGCTAGGAGAGTCCAAATGAGGTGCGGTTTTTGGCCACGCGATCGTGATCGAACGCTCTAGGACATGGAGCAGAGTTTGGTGGGTTTTGGGCCAAATTGGAGGGGTGTTGGTCTGCAACACACACGAGGCCTTTTCGGTCCCTCGGTTAACCGTTGGAGTGTCAAACGAAGTTCAAATGATACGAAACTTGACAGGCGGTCTACCGGTAGTAAACCAAGGCCGCTTGGCAAGTCTCGGTCCAATCCGGAAATGTTTAATCCCCACACACGAAAGAAAGGTAGAAATGACCACCAGAGGAGAACGAAGCGCCGGAATGCAAAACGGACAACGGGGAAAAAGCTCGAATGCATGAGATGAACGCGTATGCAAATGCAATGCACATGATGACATGATATGAGATGCATGAAAATGAAAACAACACATGGAGACAAAGACCCGAACCCGAGAAATAAATATAACTTAACACCGGAAACGACAAGAGTTGGAGTACAAATTGGGAAAGTTACATCCGGGGTGTTACATTTTTACACCGGACTGATGCAAAAGGCGCCGCGCGTGGGCCGCGCATTTACTGGACGACGCCACGTCAGCAACGACATCCTGGAGAGAGGCATGGAGGCAAAGGTTGATGGCGACGAGGAGCCCCGGCGAGACGGCGACCAGGAACTTCGCAACAGCGTCGCTAGCAACGCGGATCGAGAACACACGCGGCCGAACTTGCACCGCTTGCAGCCGCTCGGACGACGAACAGAAGAAGTAGGAAAGGAGGGAGGCAACTCCGTCGCAAGAGAAGCAGTCAACGACGAACGGCACCACGACCCACACGGTGCCCGGCGCCGCCAAGGAGGGAAACTCCACGGCGTCGAAAGGGACCCCGGTGAGGAAGGAAGCGACGACGCGGGAGCGAAAGGCGATATCTGGACGGGGGACGAGGTCAAGACAGGCGGGGCGGTGCTGCACGACGGGGCACCCAACAGCAGCATTGGAGGCGGGGCAGGGGCCAAGGGACGGAGCCGGCGTCGGTGTTTGTGGTGGTGGTGGTGGTGGTGGTGGTGGTGGTGGTTGTGGGAGGATGCTGGAGCAGCCGCGGGCGTCCGGCGGATTGCGGGAGCCGCTCATGACTGATCGTCCAATTTCATTAATTAAGAAGAAGGTTCAGACAAAAGCCAAAATAAAAGACTACTCTCACGACATAATTGCACTCATGTGTTTGGCTCCCACCAACGCCCAAAGATGGGCCTCCTCTTTGATCTTGGCAGTAATAATGGTGGTCGGTGAAGCCGTGTTGCTAAAAACTCTCGTGTTTCGCTCCTTCCAAATTTCCCACATGACAAGTATCAGAACTGAGCCAATAACTTTCTTGATATGCCCTCTCGTGTTGATCATCTTCGGCCACCAATTTTGAATCGTGTCTTCGTGGCGCCAAGTCAGCAGTGAGTGGTCATGAATGCCAAGCCAGGTGACCACCTCGGTCCAGACGCGGGGCAGTGAATCTACATTGGAAAAGAAGATGGGCGGCATATTCTTGGACTTGTTTGCATAGGGGGCAAAGTCCGCAATTCGGTCAACTTCTATATTGTAGTGCCTTTGATGGATTTTAGAAGAAGAGAAGCAAGTCTGCGACACTGCCACAATGAAATTAATCACAATGGGCCAGTTTTAGTGCGTCTCCAACACGGTTCATCAAAACGTCGACATGTCTGTAGTAGAATGACGGTCGTCCAACCAGCCCTATACATTAAATGTCCGTTCCAGGTCCATTTACCTTCATTTGACATAGTTTAATAACAAGCAAATGTAGATCCCAACCAAAAAACCTCCAATCCCAAAAGCTGCAAGTTTGACTGTCCATGTAAAATACCTCATTTTACGTCTCCCATATCGGTTGTCCATGCCAAGTTCTTCACTATACGGTTGGCTCCTCCAAATCGGTTGCCAAGCGCTTTAACATCTTAGCACGGTAGGATCTTCTGCGTCTGTTGATTGTCTGACATCTGTGTGTGCGTTTTGTTGTGTGTCTGTCACCTCCGGCCTGGATTCGTCCACTTGGATCATGTTCATCCATGCCTCCTCCTTATCGGCACCCGGTTGAGACATTTCGATAGATAGAGACCGAGCACCGACTGGCATGGAAGCTGACATCCGTGGACGGACAAGCGCAGGCGACTGCGACTTCGTAAAGAGGTTCTCCGCATTGTTGAGGTCGACGATGCATGACACGTGATGGCTGGCGATGACGGTGGACGCGGACTACTACTGCGGATCGAGCTGCCGAGCGGCGTAGTAGTATGACGGATGCAACCCTGCCGAATAGGGTGATGGTGATTGCACGCCCTGCAACACCTGATTCACATGCATAACCAAAGGAGGTACTGGGTGATTGACCATCATCAAAGTCTCCTCCCTCTTCCTCTATCTGCGGCGGCGGGCGGTGCGTGTCGATGTGTTGACTTTGCGGGCGACCACCACTGAGGGATCCTCCGCCTTCGGAAACATCTTCGTCAGCACCTGCTCCATCACGACGGTGGACAACGAAATGAGTGAGAACTATGGTGGACGGCGGCGGCAAACATGGACGACCACTCCTACGTAGAATGAAATGCAAATGAGTGGTTGTTCACCTAGGGTGAGCCCCACAGTGGAGATATTTTCCTCATTTTCTGAGAGCATTGTTGCATCCAAACATTAGGATTGTGACGAAACAAGATGAGAGACAACGTCGGAGAAAGGTTTCACCGCCCGATCGTGGCCTTGGACGCTCCAGATCGCGCCTTCATCCTACTCTTATCCACCTGAAGCCCACTCCTCCATGGCTTCTCTTCTCCGAGCAGCGCCATCCCTCCCTCTGTCCATCCCGACCGCTGCCTCCATCGAGGAGGTAGGAGTCTAGGAGATCAGCGAGCTGCTAGGCCGACAGCTTGCGGCGGGCCATCACAGAAGCTACGCCGTACGCGGCGGCGGCTAGCCCCAGCTTAATAGATTAGTTCTGCCATGGCGAGGCTTCCCGGTCTGCGTTGCTGTGACCTTGCCGCGCGCGGCTCCCTCCCTCCTCTCGGCCTTGCCTGCCGCCCTCGCAGGTCGCCCCGCGCCTCGGCTCTACGCTACTCGTCTCTCCAAGGTACACCGCCTAGCTTCACCAATGCTCAGAATTGCATGGCGCAGAAATTCGCTACCTCGGAAGTCGGATTAGAATTCTCTTCTTGCATTCGGTCGGGGTTACTTCTGGCGATGCTAAAATTGGGTCGGGATTACTTCGCCGGAGCATTCTGATTTTGAACACATTATTTTCTCCATGCATTGGTGTATTTAAATCCATATATGCTATAAAGAGAAGAATTATTCAAGGTTTCAAGCCATACAACAGAAGTGCTAAGCACCAACATGGTTCGGCGTTTGTTCTTTCGTACTAATCCTGTGGCCTCATTGTTGGAACTGATAGCTGGTGACAGTCTCGGGAAGGATGTCTTGCGCATGTTCCTTGAGGATAGGCAGACGAATGGGGACCTGGTCTCCAAAGTCGCTGACATGGTTTTGAGGAGAAACGACACAGGTCTTGATGTGTTAGAGGCTACCACAGATCAAGAAAATGCTGCAGATGTTGGGCAACCTGAAGATGTAAGCTGTGCCAATCGTGTGTTATCTACGTCATCTATTGCAAGGCATAACTGACTGAACAATGGAATGCAGTTCAGGGATGATGTTATGAGTGAGGGAGTCGTGGGATTTGAGGCAATTGGAGATTTTGTGTCCGCTGAGGGCAGCCTTACTGCGAGAAGGAGGCTTTCTGCTCTGGTATGTCATGGCCGTGTTTCGGGACTATTACTGTTCATCATTACCTTGAATTTTGACTATGTTTTTGTAGAGATAATTGATAGATTGGCATGTTCTTGCAAATGATGACAGGCTGGGCAGAAAGAGAGTGATAAAAGGAAGGAATTCAACCTTCTGAGATATGAAGCAGTAATTTTAACCCCCAGTGTTTCATCTTCTGATGCATTCAGTAGAAAAAAAATCATATCCAGCTGCTCATGTTAGTCGTTTCCCACAGATTAAGGACGAACTGTTGCTCTTGACCATAGGAATTGGAGCCGCTTGCACTATATATTGTGTCCTAGTCTTCTCTGTGGAGGTATTTTCATCCTGAACTTTATAGCAAACCGGACACGCATTTTTGCACTAACCATGAATGATTGAATAGTTTTGTGTGACCATGTGCCACAATTAAGTGATACCCTGTTTAACTGGAATTTTACAAAATCAACCATTTGAAATTGGATCTCTGGTATACTAATTTTTTTTTGTTGGAGAGAGATAATCTCCAATCTTGAAGGGGAGCCTTGGCGCAGCAGTAAAATTGTGCCCTTGTGACCATGAGTTCACGGGTTGAGTCCTGTAAGCAGCCTCTTGCAGAAATGTATGGTAAGGCTGCGTACAAAAGACCTAAAGTGGTTGGACCCTTCCCGGACCCTGTGCAAGTGGGAGCTACGCGCACCAGGCTGCCCCCTTTTTTTAGGGAATCTCCAATCTACCAGCAGATAACAATGTTGTTTTAGGTCAGATTTGTGCACTATGTGAGCATCACACTGTTCGTGGCTCATATAATCTTGGAATCATTGCCTTGAGAACATTTTCGACTGGACCTCCCACTTCCCCCTATATGTCCGGGCGGATAGCCTGGACACGGCCCGGACAAAAAACAGCCACCTGATCGGGCCCCCCATACCTAGCCGAAATGTATGGGCTGTCTGGCATCCCTCAAACCTGTTACAGTATGGCATCCCTCAAACCTGTTACAGTATATGTGGATTGCACTGGCTCATTCCATCAGTTCGGACTTTTGGTTGCGTTGGCTAGTGCATGAAGCTTAACGTGGTATCAGAGCTAAGGTCTTGAGTTCAAGTCCCGGCTTTCGCAATTTATCTAGAAAATTGCTGCCGCCCCCGTTTGTGTCCTTGTATAGGCCTCTTGAGTCATACGTAAGTTTCACGCGCCGTCGCTCTCTTCCGGTTGCACGTGTTGACTTGTCTTCCCTGTCACATGTAAGAGCGGGTGTTACAGTATATGTGGATTGCCAGCCTTTTCCATAAGTTCGGACTTTTGGT